ATATGAAATAGACCGTTCCAATTCACATTATTAAAGGCATTCTCTATGTCCAGCTTAAGCATTAAACCCGGTTTCCTGCTCTTCTTGTGATTATCCACTAGTTCGAAAGCAATAAGGCCAACATCCCCAATCTAGCGCCCCTTACCTAAAGCCAATTGTTGATGGGAAACAAGCTAGGGAAGGACTCCCCTCAATATGTGAGCCAGGACTTAGCGAACCAATTTGTTGAAACTCCCCATCAAGCTTATCGGACGAAGATCACACATGTCCTCAACAACATCCTTCTTTGGATTCAAACAGATGAATGAGTGGGTGATGCAGTTGGGTATAAATCCATAACTGAAGAAATCATTAAAATCAAGCATAATTTCAGATTTTATCCATGGGGAACACTTCTTATAGAATTCCCAAGTGAAGCCATCCGGACCCAGAGTTTTCCCGCCATTGCTATCGACAATGCTCTCCCAAACTTCCATATCCGAAAAAGGTCTTCAAATAATCTTCTGTTCCAAAGGAGAAAGGCCCTGAGACAAGTAAATGTGAGGGAAGGGCCGAGTAACAATCTGCTCGCGCAATAGTAGGGGTGGGCATTCGGTCGGTTCGATTTTGACCGAACCAAAATTATATAATTCGGGTCCTCGATTACCACCATACCTCAAACTGAATTCGAACGGAAATATATTTCGGTTCGGCCATTTCAAACTGGAATATATTTTGGTTCGTTACGGTTTTACCCCCAACAACGAAAAAATTTCCTTTCCTTTTGTAAATGATGGATGTGCTACTGCTGCAACCTGAAACCATTAATGTTCCCCACATCCCCCTCTAACTCTCACTCTCTCTCTCTCTCTCTCTCTCTCTCTCTCTCTTCCGATCCATTTTTTATTTTCCTATCCATCTCTCTCCTTTATTCCAATCTACAAATCACTTGCTCTCCACCATTTTCTTCTTCTTTATCATCTTCTTCTCAATTATCATCGACAACCCTATTGATGTTGCCCTCCTTCGCGGCAGATCCAGCTCCTTCCAAAAGCATCAGAGACCCATCAGTCAGCGACCGTCGTCCCCAGAGGAAGCATCACCGCCCACCAGCCCTTCTTCTCCCCTCCGCTGCCGGGTCAAGCTCAGCTTCCTCCGCCACCGAGGTTGCGCTCTCCCACTATAACCCTTCCACTCCCCGCCACCTGCATGTAAAGGAGAACTTGTTGCAGTAGCCGATGAAGCATATTCAGCAACGATGAGAGATGAGAGTTGGCAAGGGCGGAGATGGTGGGGTGCAATTGAGAAGCAGACGGGCGATTAGGTAATGTGTCGATCTGCTCAAGCACGTGGTGTAGCCGACCTTCGCCAGCAGAGGTGGAATTGGAAGAATTGGTTTGCTGAGGGTGGGGGTGGTGCATTGATGGCTGCCTAGAGGTTAGACGACCGAGGGTGTCTCTTTTGTTTTGTTATTACGTTGGATTTGGGAGTTAGGTCTAGGGTTATGGCTTGAAGATTGGACTCCAAGAGAGTTGGGCTTGAGTTAGGTCTAGGGTTATGGCTTGAATATTGGGCTTTAGGAGAGTTGGACTGGGGTTTGGTTGTATGAGATTGGGTTGGGGAGACATAATTCGGTTGATCGGTTCAGAATCCGGAAATTCAGTTCGGTCACGACTACGTTGGTTTCCGAAGTTTGGCTATTTCCTTTTCGAATTCCGAACCGAATAATAGTAATTCAGTTTCGGTTTGGTTTGTTCTAGTTCGATTTGGGTTTATCAAACCGGATGCCCACCCCTACGCAATAGATCTTCATAATATCCAACTATACCTCTAACAACATTGTCCCTACCTTCCGTCAAGACTCTGTTGATCTTCCTCTTGAAATTAGCCATTCTATCAAACTAGGCCGAGTTTTTATCTCCTTTTTTTATCCACAACTCGATTGACTTCTGCCTTTATGAAATTATCCAGCACATTGCCAGCTTCATCCATAAGACTTTCTCTTAGGGCAACATCATTGGAAAAGAGAGGATGATCCTCTTCTTTAAGATTGAGATTCTGAATCTATTTACTCAAATCGTCGAACTTCTTGTTTAGGTCCCCAAAAACCTCTTTATTCCAGCGTTTAATCTTGATTTTCATCTCCTGAAGCCTACGTGCCCACTTGAAAGCCCATCCCTAGCCAACAATTGGAGTACTAACCCACCCAGGAATCTCAGCAAAGAACCTATCATCCTCCATCCACATGTTTTCAAATTTCCAACGACGATGACGCCTATAATTCTCACCCCCACTTAAAAAGAAGAGGACAATGATTAAACTCAAGACGCTCAGACGCAGTAAGAAACCAATCCGAGAACAAGACATCAAAGCTCGTCAAGATGAAAGCGCGTTCAATTCTCGAAAGGCAGTTGTAATCCCTTCCTTTGCACTAAGTGAACCTGCTCCCACCGAGTGGGAGCTCCATCAGACCACACTCATTAATAACACTGTTAAACTCTATCATCAGATTTTTACCATGCCTCGCACCCTTATAGTCTTCATGACTGCGCACCAAATTAAAATCCCCAATAATGCACAAGGGTGCCTGGCAGAATTTCACCGAGAAATAGAAGCTCATCCTCTCTTTCTTGTGGTCTACAAACCACCGCCAGATTCCAAACCTTCAATGATGCCACCTCTTGGAGCTTGACGACCACTAGAAACCTGTCTTCCCGTGAAGGAATGCAAGAGAAGAACAGCTTGTCCCAAAACACTGCGATTCCTCCAGAACTACCCATTGCATTTTTCCATACTCCATAGATCCTCCGATACCACGAATCATCCCTTCATCATAGGCATCCCATTTACTTTTGACCAACCCTACAATTTTCGGCTTGCGCATACCAATAAGCCGCTTCATCATAGGCATCCCATTTCCTCTGACGTTCCAAACAAATACTGAAGATTTCATAAAGAAACATTAATCAGAGATTCGACCCCCCTTTTTCTTACTCCGACTGGTCTCAGTCAGAGGCGGCGCAATCGGCCCTAGCCGCAATTCTTCCATTTCTAGCTTAGATCTTGTCGGATGGACTTTCCTCTGATGGAATCGTTTGTCCGTAATTCCAATCACTCTTCTCATTTCCTCCCTCCCTCCATCGTCTTCCAAGAGGAGCGTCGCACCCACTACCATACTCGCAGATTCAAGAGTGCCCAAATCAAAAGGAAAGGAATCGAGTTGCCACACCTGAGATTGGGTATCAGAGATGCAAGAAGGAGATGGAATTTCAACAACCGATTCAGAGACAGGGGTTCATGCCACTGGGAGCAAATGATCATCAAAGGAGCTAAGCGAAAAGAAGGGGGCGAGGACCCATGACACATTGGTGAGGAGGGAGGTGATGGGTAGCTCTCAACCAGAAGGGCAGGGGATAACACCTCGCTTCTGCAGGAAGAGATAGAGCTTCTACCACCAAAGACAATCACCTCATACAAGCTGCAATTCCACAAGATCAGTGTTCTAGTCGATAAAGAGGAAAGTGTTGGACCAGACGAAGGAAAATCTTTGGCTGCCTGCGGAAGGATACACCTAACCAGGTTGAAGCAAACCACCTTCGGATTTCGAAATGGGCCCAACAGCCCTATAGAGAGGAAGAGAGACCAGGGCCCATGCAAAAGGGAAAAAAGATCAGGCCCAGAATGCTCACCCATGGCCGAAAGAACCTTTCCACTCTACTCGAGATTAGGAGAATCCAGGGCACGAGATTCGGGCCGATTCCAAGGCCCAAATTTTATGACCAAACATGTTTCGTTCACCTGATTGGGTCTCAAATAACCCTAGCAGCTACGATATTAGCATTCAAAATAGTGACATGCACACAGCTGTTCACCGCCATAATAGGGGCGTTACTTCCCAGAGAGTGACGATCCATCTTCCCCTTGGGTTGCAACGATCCATTTTATATTTTGAATTTCAATCAGATTCTCACGACTCATCTGCTTTTCGTTATGCTTCCCCTACTCCGCCAGCCGAATCCCCAACAGAGACCGCACCGACGACTCCCAAATCTTCACATTGAACCACTGATTCCCATTTGCCAGTCTAATTTCTCCTCAAAGATCTCCATCCTTACTCACCCTTATTCGAACGTAAGAGGAGCTCCATGAGTTCCAAACTATGTCAACCAGCTTTCCGCAAAATTCTCCAACAGATTTGATCAAATTCACACTCTTAAAGTGAAACGGAATACCAAACACCATAATCCAAACCACATCAGCAACACTCTTCGCACCTGAGTCAAAATCATCTCAAGAAGATAACTTGATTTGGAAGGACATGAACAAGACTTGATTGAGCTCTTTAACCCTTAGGAACTCTCTCAGGCTTCGACACAGCAGAAGCCACCTGCCATCCTCAAGTTCATCCAACCCAAAGTTCTTGTCAATCGCCTAGAAATGCTCCGCCCACCTCCTGAATTCGCTGACATGTTCTCTTCTAAAAACATCATCTGATCACTACAGGAAAAATCACTTTCGATCACGGGATTTCCCGTTACTGAACAGCCAATTCCCGTGACGGAAAGGTTTTGTCACGGTTTATTTCCGTGTCAAGTATGCCCGTGATCGAAGGTCAAATATCACGAGAAATCCCGTGATAGTAAAGAAAACAATAACGGGAAACCCCCGTGACATAAGAACTATTTTGTCACAGTATTTCCCGTGAACAATATTTAAACACGGGAAAATACCGTGACAAAATTATTAAATAGTCACAAGATATCCCATGATTAATAGGATCTTTTGTCACAGGATTTTGCCTAATTGCGACGGGATTGTAGTCACTGTGAAATTGTCATTATATTTACCTAATTATATTTGTCGGTAAGTTACCTAATTAAATTTAACATCAAGAGCAATTCATATACATTAATCAATAATCTTATAAATGAATGAAATTTTAATTGTATTTTATAAATTTTTGTCTCATAATATCAATACAAACATCTAAAAATATAAGGAATTGATGAATGTTCTTTTGGGGAGCACTCAAGTAGCTTAAGAAATAGAATATAAAAGATGTAATACAACTTGTTCTATTTACAAATTGCAATCCCAAGTACATGTTATGGACTAAATCTTCCTCCAATCTAGCCATGTTGATGCTATCTGCAAGCTGCAAAAACTTCAACAAGTCAAAAACCAGTACATCTCAAACTACGACTTTGCTTACATATAATAACAACGACAACATATTTAGGTAGTTTCATGGAGTTCTCCCCTCTACATAGAATATCAAGGGAAGACTTGGAAAGGAACTTACAACAACATCTGAAGGATTGCAAACCACCAGAACACCACAATACCTACAAAAAAGTAGCAAATGATGTACAAGAACTCATATCATTGCTAACGGTTGGATTTCGTGAAAGTTGGAGTAGAAATTGATTATTGTAAATCTGCTTTCACAAGCAACTACACATTACAAGCAACAATTAAGGAGTAGCTCAATAAAAGGGTTAATTGCATGGTTGGTCACTGATATTACAAAAAACGTTCATGTTTGGTCACTCGAAATATTTAAATCCATTTTTGGTCACCAACTTTACAAAAACCGTTCATTTATGGTCACTCTCCGTTAGCTGCCGTCCAACGCCGTTAACTGCGTCCGTTAAGTGATGACGTGGCTGACGGATTCGCCTAATCATCACCTTTTAACCCGAAAATTGACTGATCCGACCCGCCACATCATTTAAACCCTCCATGTCAGCCAAACCTAACCAAACCAGACCAGACCCGACTCCTAAATAAAGAACTGACTCGACCCACCAATTAATCTACCCACCTTTGACTAAAACCCTAATCGAAGACAAATCCATCTGCCTCCATCCCGCGCCGTCTTCCTCCCTTTCGTTTTTCTTCCTCTCCAACTCTGATCGCCAATTCGCCGGCGACGAAGGAGGAATGGAGTCCGCCACACACTTGCCTTGGGAAATGGAGCCGTTGACTATGTCGGCGTTGCCGCATCTGGGGAGCACGATCTGGCGGAGGGTCCGATCGTCGAGCTGGCCCGTGACGTTGAGATTGAAGTTCTTCTGGTAGGTCTTCCCGGCCGATTCGAGCGAGTCGTCGAACAGATCCGTGAGATTGTAGGCGTTGTCGGGGATGTAGCCGACTCCCACGCCGCCTACCTCCACTCCCTCCACTCCTTCTCCCCCGCCCTCCTCTCCTTCCTCCGCGCCCACGCCTCCCAAATCGCCGCCGCTCCTCCCTACGATTCCCAGCCGGAGAGCTGTAGCTGCGACAGGGAATGTAAGAGCAACAGCAACAGCAATTCCTCCTCCGAAGCTCCCTCTACCAATCGCGAATTCTCCAGCTCCAGCTCTGATTCCGACTCCGACGACTTCGCTGCGTATCCGAAGTACGATTCGTACGGAGACGGCGGAGGAAGCGCAGGAGGAGGAGAGTTTGCGCCGGTTGCTAGGTCGTGGATAACGCTGTCGCCGCCGCAACCGAGGTCTTCTTCGGCGTGGGACTTTTTGAATTTCTTCGACGCGACTCCGTTCCAGCGGTACAAATTCGTCGAGAAGGAGAAGGGAGACAAAGGAGCGAGAAAGAATCAGGTCAAGGAAGTGAAATCGGGCCGGAATCGCCCGGATCCGACTCGGAAGGAAGCAAAATCGACTGCTGGAAAGAAGAATCAGGCGGAGGAAGAGGCGAAGACGAATGTCGGAGCAGAGAAGAAAAATAAGGATTCGTGTCCGAAACACGGCAATGGTGTCGACGAGAAGGTCGAATCCGGCGAGGAAAAAGGGCAAAGTGCAGCGAAGTTGATGAAAGAGCTGGAGATCGGGTTCGAGAGAGCTGCGAAGTCTGGAAACGGAGTTCTGAGCTCGCTTGATGCTGGGAAATGGGTTTGGTTAGAGGTTTGGTTAGATTTGGCTGACATGGAGGATTTAAATGACGTGACGGGTCGGGTCAGTCAATTTTCGGGTTAAAAGGTGATGATTAGGCGAATCCATCAGCCACGTCATCACTTAACGGACGCCGTTAACGGCGTTAGACGGGAGCTAACGGAGAGTGACCATAAATGAACGGTTTTTGTAAAGTTAGTGACCAAAAATGGATTTAAATATTTCGAGTGACCAAACATGAACGCTTTTTGCAATGTCAAGTGACCAACCATGCAATTAACCCCTCAATAAAAAGATAGGAATTCAGTGTTCTAAAATGCTTTCATAAGACACGACACTATCCAAAAAACAACCAAAACAATAGCTCAATGAACAGCCAAGAATTGAGTTTTCTGGAACTGATTTCATAGGCATTTGTCAAAGAAATTTTTTGGTACTTTGTAATTCTGCCTTAACTAAAAAAAGCTGCATTCTATTATGAACTATATTCGAACAAAAACAACTCACCTCGTTCAGCACGGTTGTCACTTTCAATTGCACGGTTAGCATAGGCACGTCTTCCATCGATGGTGGACAAGATTGTTAGTCCTAGATGTACTCGTGGATTCATGATCTCTTGTACGAGAAGTTGGAAGAAAAAACAATCAAGGAACATGCTGCTGCAGCAGTAAAACAAAGAATTGATACGCATATCACATATTCTTATATGGGGCATGTTGATTCTGTAAAGTAGAATGATGCTTTGAAGGTAAGTTTGATGAACTCAATGAAGAGAAGTTTGGACGTTTCACCACCCTTCCTAAAGCAGTGATGCAACAAATCTTCCTTCGGATATCTTTTTTTGAGCCCCATGTGACATTTTTTAGATGATTTTCCTATCATGTTATCTTGTGTAGATGCAGGAAATAATAATAGAAGTTAAGACAAACAGAGTAGATTCAAATTGTACCCAAATCAGTTAGAATAAACCAATGCAACAATATCACGGATTCACATTCCTGATTACAAACATAAGAGGAGAAATATGCAGAAATTAAATGAAAAACTAGTATAAATAAAAGGCAAAGTAGACCTGAATGCTAAAACTTGATGTTTGAAAACATATTCCATTTCATGAGAACACATCAGGGAGCAACAGGACTTTAGATGAGGAAGGATAGAGTTAAGAAATGCATACTAAGAAACGTTCAAAACTCTTAGCAAGGGCGAATGAATAATGCTGAAAGACGTCTCTTAATCCCAGTCGATGCACATATACAAATCTCTACTGGCAAAGCTCTCAATGATGAGTACAGATTTCTGCTCAAAGTAAACTACAAAAAATAGACGAGCAATATAGTTGGGTCACTTCAAGTAAAGCTTCATTTTCATTTATATCAAATTAACAAGGACAATGAAGTGGTTTTTCAAATTGTTGGGGATGCATACAAGTTACCAGGAACAAACACAAATCTCAGTCACTTCACAAGCACCATAGAGCCACAGGTCAGCTTATATACTCCTTCAATGAGTTTGCCACAATCAATCACCTATGTAGAACCTATACTATGAACTTTTCTCTGTTTTGCTTTACCTATGTCGATTAATGGAGGAAACCCTTGGATTACAATATATAATAAACACTTACATTTAAATAGGAAGAAGAGAGAACAAAAGCAAGGTCTTAGAAAAAGATTAAGGGCAATGAGCCTTTGATCCCGTATGTGCTTCCAAGATCAATTACTTTCACAAGGCTATGCCCAGCTTTACACTTTAAAGTGAAGGCTATGAAAATTGTCTGTACCTTGAAATAATAGTGCTTAAGGGGTCGTTTGCTTGTGGGATTTGGTTGATGGATTTGGAACCCAAATCCCAAGCATCATGGAGTTGACACAAATCCTTTGTTTGTTGAGGGATACAAATCCGTGGGGTCCACGGATTTGGACCCCTTTTTTAGATCCAAATCCGTGGACCCCACGGATTTGTAAATCCCACATTTCATTTGGGATTTGACAATAGAAGGAAAAAATGTGAGACAAATCCATCACAAATCCATGATAAAAAATCAACTAAACAAACAATGTACTCTTCCAAATCCATGATACAACAAATCCATCATAAATCCAAAGGTTTTTAAAACTCAAAACCTTCATTTTCAAATCCAACAAGCAAACAAGCCCTAATTCTGACCGTAACCCAAGAGTCGCTGTTTCGTCAACGTTTGCAGCCACCAACACCCAAAATCCCTGAACACAGTGTTTAATTAGGTAGGAACCAAACCCAAGTCGAAGGATAAAGGCGACAGCGACCAAGAGATAGATTTGTCAGCAGGAAAAAATCAAATCAAAGTAGGTAATAAAAAAAATGAAATGAGTAATTGAACCAATAGCGAAGAAGAATCAAACCATGGTTTTGCTTCTCTCAATAAACAAAGAAATTGGGAGGGTGGACGGTGGAGATGACGATCGGTATACCTAGATCTAAGCAAAAAGGGTTCTGAAAATAAAAAATGGAGATCACCGGCGTAGTGGTTCTCAACTTCCATAGCTCGATCTGTTTCCATCGCCCCAATCGCTTCCGAGTCTTCATATTGCCGAATGCCGATGTAGTGGTTGAAACCCTATGCAATCCTCCGGCAGTTGACGGGAAATGTGACGGCCGACCTGGATGATTCACCAGTCTCACAAGATGAGTGAGACGTGTTTAATTTCTCTGTTGATGACACTGGTTTGAGGGAACGAGCACGTTAGAGAAAGGGAGATGGATGAGCTATTTCTGTGGAGCTAGGGATTTTGGGGAGGAGACTTGAAAATATCTCACTTCCTTTGTTTTTCAATTTTTTCGGTCACTTTACTTAGAGCCAAAACTAGGGGTGTTCAAACGGTTTGGTTACCATGGTAACCGTTTTAACCAGTACTATTTGGATAATTTGGTTTGGTTAATTTGGATAATTGGTTTGGTTTGGTTAAAGTTTTTAGCTTGTTTGGTTTAGGTGGTTTGGTTTGGTTTCAGACACTCCTAACCAGTCAAACCAAATTAACCAGTAAAGTAATTAGTCATATATCTAACATATATTATATACACATACTTAATACTTTGCATAATCACTCAAGAGTTAATGTTCATCCCTTTTAGACTCATAAAATATAAAGCTCAATATTGCTCATATAGTGTATATTTGTATATGTAAAATGTAGACCACGACATATGGATGCCTAATTTAGATAAATTTCATACATTATGATGGATAAAAACTTGAAAAGAAGGTTATTTCCAGCCTATGATAATTGTTAAGAGACTAAGGGGTCGTTTGGAGAACGGGATTTAGAGCATGGATTCATTGAATCCGTAGATTTTGGAGAAAGTTATGTTTTTTTGTTGCTTTTTGTGTTGTGGATTTTAGCTTTAGAGATTTCAAATCTCTAAAATCTATGGATATCAAATCTCTCATAATCAGAGAGATTTTATATATTGATTTATGAGATTTTTTTTCTCCTACCTTTTCTCTTTCTTTTATTTATTTATCATATTAAATATATTTACTAACAAAGTTTTTAATATTTCTCGAACTACTCTAATTTATTATTAAGGATAAACATGTTATTTAATATAATAAATTTATTTTTATTTTTATTGAATGTTAACAATCACAGTTACCAAACAATAAACATTTTAAAATCTATTTTCAACAATCCGAAGAGTTAGAATCTTTAGATTGTTGACAATCTATAGATTTAAACTCATATTCTCCAAACGACCCCTAAGTCAATTTACACAAACACAAGAATTCATTAACCCATAGCATTGTCATAAATTTTTGCTAGGTGAATACTTCTATACTAATCGTACGATAATTGTCTTAATTGCATGTATTTTTGTTAAGGGTCAACTATAACTATGTGTTGATTGTTGTGTTTTATTCATTATATAAATTGCGAATTGTTGCATTAACCGGAAAATTTTCATCGTCAATAATAATGTGATTTTATATTGGTTAATCTGGTTAACCAATTAACCAAACCGGTTAAACTTTAGTTTGGTTAATTTGGTTGTTGTATTAGTTTGGACGGTTTGGTTATAATATTGTATTCCATGGTTAATGGAATTTAGCCTTATTTGGTTTGGTCATAACCATGGTAACCATTTGAACACCCCTACCAAAATTGACTACCCTTTATTTCCCTTGGAGCCAAAACCAAAAATATTGGAGCCAAAACATTCACATACCGCCAACGCAATTTTTCGTTTCATTTGTCACGGTAAATTTACAAGAAAACATTACAGGTTGATTTCCCATTACCAAATAAAGCTGCTTGACCCATTTGATTATGGGATTTATTTCCCGTGACAGTAGTTATGTATTTGGTAACGGGACAAATCCCGTAACAAATTTCCCGTGACTAAATATCAATTTTCCTGTAGTGGATTGAGATATGAAGTTGATCACCAAGCTCCTATTAAGAATCAGAAGTCTATCTTCTACTCCTTCCTTCTCGAGTTGAATATAGTCTCCGCTAAGATCTTTGGTAATACGAAATTTTCCCGCTCCATAGAACCATCCACCTCTAACGACCTCAACTTAGGATCTGCAGTCTGGCCCTTTCTCCGAAAAATCCGGAAAAAAGAACTACCCTTCTTCCGACTTGCACTCAACATCTCGCTTATCCGCATCCGGTATTTCGCAAGGTAGAAGTCCTTCAGGAGAAAGATTAAACCTGCCCAACGTTGTTGGACGCCAACTGAAGGAATAAGAATCTTGTACATACGCTCATTCCTGTTTTGTTCAGATATTTTGAGTTTTTCCCCCCCCCCCCCCCCCCCCATCTAGTCACCTTCTTTCCAACATGAACAATACGCGCTCCACTCCTTTTCATACACTCATCAGAAAAGCGCCAATGACGCATCGCCGCCGTCTGAGAACTCCTTTGAGTCACGCAAGGAGAGACTCGTCCAAGATCACAGACCAGCGCTTATTTCCTTCTTCAACCTGCACTCTGTAGCCCACACTTCCCTCGAAAATTTTAAGCATGACTAGCTTTGATCCCATCACTGTAACCCACCGAAAATCTTCCAGTGCATGACCGCCAACGCCATTCCCCGATACTTGTGACCTGCTAGCATAAGAAACAGAAGAGAAATAAGAACCAAAGAAAGTCCCCTTCCTGACCCAATCGCTTCCCCTCTCAGAATCATGTTCTTTGTTACTACTGTGTGTATTACTTTCTTGATGGCATCATCTTTTTCCGAAGAAATTGACCCCATTCATGATCCTTAATATAAGTAGTGATAACATTGAATTTGCACATGTTTTCACCGTAATTTCTTGATTGTTTAGCTTGGTGTTTATCATGCTTTGGTCTATTTTATGCTAGGTTTTGTTCTTTTGTCACATTTCATGTCCTAGCACGTAAAATGAAGCATATGCGCAAGTTTCAAGTCAATCGCAGATCAATTGGCGACTCGGAGGATGAAACTCGGGCATGATCCAAGGAAGAATGGGTTTCTACCTTATTTTATAGACAAAGAATCCTGTAATCTAGGAATTGAAAGAAAGAGGAGGAGACTACGAGCGTTTGGGATCAAACGGCGACTGATTCAGAGTTCGAATGAGGGAGAAATGACCGAAAGACCGCAGCCTCTCCACAGTTACGGGCTTGCCTTACCGTAACTTTGCCGTTTTGGCCGTATCTCGGGGCCACGAGAGGCAGAATACATTCCAGAATTTATGGCCTGAACCCCAAAGGTTACGACAGTAATTTGACTTCTGTGAGCTGTATAAATGCGTTTTTGCGGATTCTGGAGGGGGAGAGCTGGGTTTTGAATACCAAACACCCAATGGACGAACCCTAGAGAGAGAGAGAGCACCTTGGGAACATTCTTGAATCTATTTTCGAGGATTTATTCACCATTGGAGCTCGGGAATCAAGCTTGGAGATGGAGATTGAAGATCTATATCAGATTTCTGCATTCTCTCTCTTCTATATGGAGTAACTTCCCTTCACTTAGGTTTGAGGAACCCTAGATTTGTATGCTAGGAAGAGTTGTGTGAACTCAAATTCATGATTGATTGATGTTATATATTTAGTTGAGGCATTGATTCAGAATTACTTGCGTCTTGATCAAACTTTTGTAATTCCTGCTTTAACCTAGAACGATAGTCTCTGCATAGGTTAATAGAGCAACCTTAATTTGAAGTAGTGGATCGATTGCTTAGTCGAGAAATTGATTCACTGCTCTGTACTGGAATCAAAGCCAATAGAGGATGTTTTGTGTGTTTTACCTTAGGTTAGCTTACACCGGTGGAGGTTAGTCGCCCGCCGGGTATTCGAATAGAGAGGGTCTAGATAACTTTAGTCGAGAGACCAGACCAGTTAAGAACTTTCCGCAATATATCTGTCAACTGAATTGGATTGGGTGAATTACAACTTGGCCTAACTACAGACTAGGGGGAATCATACCTAAGTGTGTTCCCAACCTGTAATTAGTAGTTTTACTTAGTTTAGCTTGTAGAGTAGTTTAGTTAATCAAACATTAATCTGATTTGCTAGATAATGAACTGAAGTTGAGTAATAGTACATCTAGTGACCCGAGGATGCGATATATATTACTTGCACCACTATATTGCAGTCTCTTTCATTGGTTACACTTGGCCATTGTTAAGAGTTGTGTTTTAGCGAGTCAAGTAACCATACATAATTTTATCTCTCTTTTATTTGATATACTCTTTTGGCTTCTAAATGGAAGTATGCTTCTTTTCTCAATTTGATTTCTCCACCGTAACACAAACAATAAGGAAGCCTCTTAATTTAGAAAAAACATGGTGCGATGGTCATGCCTCGTTATCTTCTATTACATTGACGATAGAGTGAACGGAGGTGACCTTAATGTTCATAAATTCTACATAAAGTCAATTGAATGGGGAAGCCCACAAGAACAAAATCACTCTTTGACGATTGGTTTTTTTGACGATTGGTTTCTTACTATGGATATTGTGGCGGATTATTACATGTAACATCCTTCCTATCTCTATATTCATAGAGTTCAATGCATTGCATGAAAGAAACCATTTTATCAATAAAGTATGAACAATAATTCTTGAAGCTGGGGGTAACATAAAAACATTGAAAACTTGTTCAACTCTATGAATTTGTCTAGTTCAAGACCAGAACTTAGGCAGCAAGTAACTTGAATTTAACTTGTTAAAATTAGGAGGATTGTAGTATATGCATGAAGGGTTTTAACTTTTCCAGCATATTAAAGAATTTCCTGGAGAATAGAACAGGCTCCTTGAGCAAATTTACAGGTACATGAGGCTAGAGCAAACTGAAATTCTTATGGAAACAAATGTGTGAGAGAAAGCTATACGTTAAAAAAAGTGGCAAGAAAATGATTTACAAACAAATCTCAGTTTGCTGCAAAAACATTCGTTCTCATATATTATTTTTTCTTCTTATGTTCAAGGCTGCTCGTGTCCTCGGGACTCATCATGAGAAGTAGAAGAATCACCCAGCAGAGGCACAACAACACTAGTACTAGTCGAAGATGACGATGAAGCGTCTGGAACATAATTCCCAACACCACTTGTCGATCTCAAGAACGGAAGAGATGTGTCGAATGGGAATGGGAATCGATGCCTCCTCTCAATTGGAATCCCTACATGTTCTCCTCCCCGGAAATTAAATCCAACGCCACCACCACCATTGTCATTACCGCCAACAATAACGCCATCATTCGATTCCATCTTGGAATCATCAGTAGTGGGCATTTGGAACCTGCAAACGGGACATGAACTGTGTAAATCCAACCAAGGATGAATGCACCCCTCGTGGAACTTATGCTTGCAAGGCATCTCTTTAGCTTCAGCTCCAAGCTCAAAATCCTCGAGGCAAACTGCACATTGTAGATTGTTGTCGTTGATGGTTACAGTTGGCATTGTGTTGACGGCCTCCTTGTGAGCAGGAGGAGTCCCGTATCTGTTGGGATCATTCTCGGCCAAATGTTGGAGCAACAAGTCTAATCCTGGCCCTACCAGGTAGTCCGCAAAAGAACGAGTAGCAGTAGTTGTTGTAGTAGGAGCATTCTCAAGTTGGGTTGAATCGGGTGGTGGGCCATGGAGAATCAAAGCACCTTCATTGAATGGATCAACCAAGATCAAACGACTATTCCTACTACCACCCACATTTGTGCCAGATTCGTCGTTCTCTTGATTACGATGGAGGTGATGTTGGGCGAGGGTGGTTTCGGCCCTGGCACGTATATCGTGGAGCAATCGGAGGAATGAGACTGAGCTTCTTGTTCTTCTCCTTCGGAGTAAAGTCTCGAACTCCCTGTCGAGTTGATGATGTTGCTGTTCTTGGTCGTTTTGTTCGCGCTCCTCTTCGTTGCCAATGGTTGATGCATCGGTTGGAGGGGCGGGAAGAGCTGCAAGAGGGGGACGGTAAGCGCTCAAGCCATCCATTAAGCCAAGCAAGATTGGAGCCCAAAGAGAGAATGCACGTTCTGATTCCACATCGAATAATCCACTATCGTTGTTGTTGTTATTAGAATTGTTATCGTTGTTGCTGTTATTGTAGTTGGTGGGGGTGAGATCTATTATATTGTTGCTATTATTATTGTTGGTGTTTCCTCCAGCCACTTCTTCGACAAACCCACTCTCGCAGATGGGGCATTTGATCTCGGGTTCCATTACCGGGTTCACCATGCGACAACACATGTGACACCAGTACTGGTCCACCCTTGCATCCGCCATCTTTCTCCTTTTGATCTCTAACAATCTGATTCAAATTTTTATCATAACACCAAAACCAAAAAAATTGATCAAAACCCAAACAAGTGAACAAAAATCCAATCTCTCTACCATCCTTTTTTATAAAAAAAAAACATATATATATATATATAGCAACCAACAAGAATTAGCAACAAAAACATGAGATGAAATGATAAATTATTAGAATTTGTGATTACCTCAAGGATACACAAGGTGGGTATTGTTGATCATCTTCAGGGGCTGGGGTATATTTGTTTATGAGCGATTTGGGGAATGAGGAGAAAAGGGAGAGGAAGGATATTAAAAAGGGATTGCGACATCCTATATTCTGATTGATTGTACCTAAAAATTTGTTGGTTGTCCATTGATTCTTCTTAGGTGGGTTTTTTTACAGTTGGGATTCGTTTCATTGCCAATCAATATATAGGTCTTATTTTTATCATTATGTATAATGAATATCATTAAAATGGTGAATACGAAATGGCTATTTTTGGGTCTTCATGCGTACCATTTGCCTTGTAATGTACATGTTTCTCAATAGTTGGTGGTTGTTGACTCATGGGAATTCTGTTAATCCTATATTTTCTCCATGAATTCTGATCCTATATTTGTGCATCCTATCCAATCATGGTTTAGCTTTGTCTACGGTTGACTATATATGACAAAACATGAATCTACTGAACTTCTTTCCATTCTCATGGCATACTAGTGAAGTAATATGCCTATTCACTCATAGTTTATTAATAGACTCCAATTTTTGAAAGGGAGGTATAAGATCATCTCCATCATTGGCAAATGGCAATAGATTAGCAGTTTCAAATGTCGTCTCCACCACACACTAATAATTTTAGTAATAGAACTATTAATATATACAAAGAGAATTCATGATAACTGTTCACTAAAAAATTTATTTAATTGGGCTTAAGCCCATTGTCTCCCAATAGTTTTCGTTTTTTTTTTTTAGTGGGCTTAAGCCATTATCTCCACCAATAGTTTGATCAGTTTTCTTGATTAATTATCCAATTTCAGCAATATTCAAATGGCCAATAAGATCACCACTAACCCATACTTTCCTATCAATTTTCACTATTCGCCAACTTTTCAGACACCATAACGAAACCTGAATAGTTTTTTCGCATCGTCCTGTCCTGTTACAGTAACTAGCTTTATATCTGCTCGTTGGGCGGCAAATTTTGATTGATTATTATATTTTTCGTCCTAGTATTATAATTTTATTTTTGATTCATTATGTTAAACTATTATACATTGAATTGTTAATCTCACTTACCAAATTTCATATATTTTTTCACATTTTTATATCTTTCATTTATTTATGAAAATTTAATTTTATTAAATGAGCTCTCTATAGTACTTTCTTTATTGATTTATAATTATGTATCGAATCCACCATTTAAGATATAAACTAAGAGATTATTAATTTTTTAGCACACAAATGACAAAGAAGTTAAAATTTTGAAGGACACAAAAGAAGAAGTTAAAATTTGCAAATATATTTTAATTAATAAAAAAAAGTGATGAGCTTTCATTTTCTCACCCTTCTAGTACGTTGGTATATGGTAATAAAGAAAATCGCGATCTAGATCCCACAAATATCGGGCAGTATCAGTTACTCGTGTAAATTTGGAAGAATGAGAAACCACATTGGCATCTGTTAGAGATAGATTATGAATATTATAGCAAAACCAACCACAAATAAATCAAGCTTTAGTTAGGGATTTAATTAGGCAAAATTCACGCTAAGGAAACAAACCAATGTCATTTGAAACATCTAGAAATTGGGGAAAACATCAACATTTACTACCATTTTATTTCTTCTTCGCGCCCTTTATAAGACCCCAAATATGCTCCCTCCTATTTACTTGATCAGATCATCGTCATATAGCTAGCTAGTAGCATGTCACTCATGAACATAATAAACATATATAATGAACAACCCTCACAACTCTGCTTTCCATTTTAACATCCAAGGAATCGAGTTGCAATAGGCCTTCAAGGAAAACGATCAATTATTCAACCAAAGGAGAGATGCTTCAAGTCCAAGCAACAAACCCTTTAAATTATATATTACATGTTTACATCAAAGTATACAGGATAACAGAGAACCATTAAACAACTACCAGAATAACGAAGAAGAAATACAACTATTGAATCGGAAAGGGAAATTTACTATCCAGTCGCCATAATTTGGAAGAAATTAAGAAAATACTGGGAAGAAGACTATAACTCGGCCAGTCAACCACTGGCAGTCAGATATCTCCGAGGAAGAAAGATCAATTGTCCGCTGCGGATCAAAAGGGAAGAGGGCGAAATGATAGGCTGGACTTTTCTTCGTCAATAGGCAAAAATATGTTAGAGTTGTTCAATTCTTTCCCAACAAATCATTGCATCATGTAACTCCCGCCGCCTATTCTCCTACAAAGAGGGAAAAAAAACTCAATATGCCTTACCATTTCCTTTTCTATATCTGTATACAAAAAAGTAGAGAAGACAAATTCTAATAACTCGTAGAAACATTGTGACATTTTACATACATTTGAATTTTTGAATGTATTGTAGACATATCTATTAATATCTAAGAATATGTATAACGATTTTATTTTAATTTTAACCCTAATTAGTACCTTTGAACTCGGCTCATCGACTGAAATATGAAAACGAAATTTGAGGCTAGGATAAATTGATCTAAATACAAATGGCTTACTGTTATAAACCAAAAGATTTCCATTTTGAGACTTCGATATTTAAAAAGTTTTTGTTATTGCCAAAATTTGGTATGAGTCACATACTCACAACCATATAGTTGGGGTTATTTGCTTGATGGATTTGGAGCTATCGTGAACTTTGTCCAACCATTGCTTGCTTCATGTATTTAGATGCAACAAATAGATGAGTCGCATGTATTTTAAGGTTCCAAATTCGTGGGCTCCACGGACTTGAAAATTTCACCTCTTTAGATGGAAATTGATCATGGACTTTGAAGTCTATTATATATGACCAACCTACCCCTCATATTTCATTTTCCTTCTCATACCAATGAGGGTAATATATGTCTTTTTCACTTCCAACATACAAATTCAATTAACCAAATGCATCATGAAATCTATGAAGCGAAATATGGTATTTTCAAATCCATAATGAACCAAAACCCCTCATATATCCATGATTTTACAAAATCCAAGTTTTTTTAAAACCTTCAGTTTTCAAATACACGAAGCAAACGACCTCAATATTTTCTTACAATTGCCTTACTAAACTCATCCTTATTAAAGATTCTTTATTTTAACACAATGCCTCAATTTAGATTCTTGTAGCTACAAAAGTTTTTTGTTTAGATATCTCAACTAACACACTTATGTTTATTTATTGTCTCAATCCTCGAATTTAGATTTGTCTACCAAGACACCAACTATTAAATAAATTTTTTCAACCCTTATTTGATCAATGCTAAGGTTAGTGGTTTATGAAGCGCGATGTTTATCGTATATCCTCGACAAAAATTTTCTTAACCTTCACACGTTTTGTTTTTTAAGTGATGTTGTGTCTCATCCTATGTATTAAGTCAAAACTCGTCAAAAATCATACTTAAGTCATTTTGAAAACTTTGATGTAATAATGTTCGATAGAGATTGTTCAATTAATATGATCTAGAGTGAATATTTTAATATGAACCCTAGGACAAATTATAAAGGATTGCACACCTGATTCCTCTTAATTTGAGAAACTGAAGGTAGAACATGAATATATGTTTTCACTTAATCATGATGAATAAAAAGTTTTTTAAAGAAAGAACTATTATTGCTTAGTCAAATTTATATTCAGACCTTTTGCTATATAAGACTTGTTTTATTTGATAGAAATATATATTAGAAATAATTCGACGAAAAAAATACATTAGAAATAAGAGAATTATTAATACAAAAAGTATAATTTCATATATTTCATTTTCAAAGTCGATTGATAAAAATATTATTATATATGTGTACATTTTTAATCATTTGTTTTCAACGTTTCTATTGTAAATTTTGTTCAATTGATACAAATATTATTATATATGTGTACTTTTTAAATCATTTGTTTTCAATGTTTCTATTGTAATATTTTGTTTAATTGATACAAATATTATTATATATGTGTACTTTTTTAAATTTTTGTCAAAAAGTAACTTATTATTAAGTTTTGGTGAAAATGAGTAGAAAATATACTTGATAAGATTTAATCATATACTTTTTATTTAAACAAATTCGATATAGTCACTATCTATTTCCATCTTTATACTTTTTTAATTGAAAAAAATATTATACTTTTTTGTGTTTGTTTACATTATCATAAAAATGTAATTTATTATTAATTTTTAGTAAAACTGAGTAAAAATATTAAAAGAAGAGAGAGATAGCTCAATAAATAGATCAATAATGAATTTTTTGTTTGCAAAAAAAGTTGTCCACCTTGCCAACTTGTGAATTCTCCAAGTGCTTATGTGGCAATAAGTTACTTTTGAATTGCCATAATATATAGTATAGATATAGATATAGATAGATAGATAGATAGATAGATATAGATATAGATAGATAGATATTATTCTTTTTTGTGTTTGTTTACATTCTCATAAAAATGTAATTTATTATTAATTTTTAGTAAAAATGAGTAGAAATATTAAAAGAAGAGAGAGATAGCTCAATAAATAGATCAATAATGAATTTTTTGTTTGCAAAAAAAGTTGTCCACCTTGGCAACTTGTGAATTCTCCAAGTGCTTATGTGACAATAAGTTACTTTTGAATTGCCATAATATATAGTATAGATAGATTAACAACCTCTTTTTTGATTCCCCTGCTTCTATATAATACACCATTGTTTATGATTTGGTTGGTTCTATATGGATTAATTCTCTAGCTACCAAAATATCTATACAAAGGGAAGAATTGGATATCATGACAGGGATTAAATGACCACGGAAGCAATCACTTAGACTGATAGCATGAAGATAATCATAATAGAGGAAGTGATCTAATAATATTTCAAGCAGAAACAAAATACTTTATAATTATGACCAATCTATGTAGCTTGATCTTGTGACGGGAAATTATATACCTGCATGCAACCACTTCAAAGAAATAGACAAAAAAACATAGGAGTCAGAGAAATTGTGGAGCTTCTAGCCATCGCCGTTGAGAGAGTGAGAGATAAATAGGTCGAAGATAGATATGATTATTGCAACTCTGAGAAGGTTGGACCGGTGGT